ATCAGCTGCTGCTGGTAGTCCCTAAAACCTAGAAAAAGACCAGGGGAGACCGAGCCTTCTCAGCGGTAGCCCCCAGGCTCTGGAACGACCTGCCCCCCCATGTCAAATTGTTGCCCACCCTTCAAACTTTTAAGTCCCGCCTGAAGACCCACCTCTTTTCCCTCGCTTTCGAGTCAGTTTGAGCTGTTTTATCGATTTTTATGCTTTTATTGTCTGTCCATAGCCTTTGTGTGCCTTTTTATCTATTAGTGTAATATTATATTTTATTATAGTGTTATGTTTGCTGTGAAGCACTTCGGTAAATGTGCTATATAAATAGAATGGATTGGATTGTAAATGTGTCTGTAATACACATATAATTTCTCCAATTCTAGATGTGTTAGTAAGATATATTGTAAATACTTTCTGTTTAGTGTCTGGGCTTCAGCTATAGCTTCATAGGAGTGTTTCATTTCATGTCTTTTGATTGTACTTGTATTTTGAGCTGTTTCTGACTAAATCCATTGAATAAATGGAAGAAAATATAAAGCAAGAGATACACAAACTGATATATGTTTATAAAAGCAATGCAGAACATTATCAAGTAAGTGGTGGAGTTTTAATATGATGGCCACCATTTGAATTCGACTAACATAAGTGTACAATGAGTTATTGCATATCCCTCTGTTAGTTTACAGCTCCTTACAAGCATCACAAACATTACGCTGACCACCGTCTGCTTTCAGGGCTCTGGGAGTTCCAGTGACCGACCACACGTATGAAGACTGCCGCCTGATGATCTCAGCCGGTGAGCTAACGCTGCCCATGGAGGCCGGCCTGGTTGAGTTCACCAAAATTAGCCGTAAACTCAAGTAAGAACATCTCACTTAAGTGCTCTGTAGGCATCACCAGACAGGGGCAAAAACAATTTGTTTTGAGCATGTGATTGAACCGTGTTACTGGAGAGCAATTATATAAAAGGCAAAACATGACCTACATAACCACCTCCTCTCTGTGCCCTGCTCCCTCAGCCTGAAGTGGGACAACGTGAAGAAGGAGCTGGAGGGCTTTGCGTCCATGGCCACTTCTTGTAAAGGAGGACGGATAAACATCGAGGAGTTTTCCTCCTTCCTGAAGCTACCTGTCAACCCGGCCCTCGAGGAGCTGTTCGCACTGTTTGACAGGGTGAGAGACCTGTCTGATGTTTAGTTTTTATTTAACCAGAGCCACCCTAAATAGTACCATAAAGATGACACAATACCAACTTCCCTTTTGTTGAAAGCCAGGATTTTGGAATAAGTCTTGCAGTCTTACAGTAAAATGACACACCCTGCAGGCAACACGCAATAAATATACTGGTTGACAGCATAATGGGCAACAAGCTTAATATTAATTTACAGAATAAAATGCATCACATCACTGAATATCATGTGTACAGATGAGGGTAACATTGAAAGGTGTGGGTTCAGGATTTATACAGCCAGGAAACTATGATCACATTTTGGCCTCTTTCACTGGAATGACTTAGAGGTTTCAATAAAAAGCACAAAAACAGACTCTAACCTCTAGTTTGATGATCCCTTCCCCCCAGACTATCTATGCCTCATCATTTTCCAGTAACAGAGATTTACACATTCAATTCCAGATACTCCCTTAAACCCCCCATTAGCTTTCCAATACTCCCTTAAACCCTTTCTTCTAAACTGTCGATGCTTGACAAAAGTTTATTTTTATGACTAGACCATTAAGGATATAGAAACATCCATCGTCATAGTATGCTGCTACCGCTTCAAGTATTTTTTATTGCTGTCTCTTTGACCCTGTCTAGAACGGAGATGGCACCATAGACTTCAGAGAGTACGTTATCGGCGTGACCATCTTGTGTCGACCAGCCAACACCGAAGATGTGCTTCGCATGGCTTTTAAGGTATGGAAGATATATTGTGATATTACAGTGCTGCTACGAGGGACAGGAGAAATAGCAGTCATGTAGTGTAAACATCACAGAATACTAACACACAGTAAATCAGGTCGCCCAAGGTAGTCCTCCATAGCACTGCTTTTCTGTGTGAAAACTGAATTCTTCCAGGCACGGTATCAGCAATTTATCAGAAATGCTCCACATTGATTATGCTGATTCAACTGCATCATACATTTTCTGCTAATATTTATTTGACGTGATGTTATGACTATATCCTTGGAAAAAGTTATATGACCATGTAAAGCAGACCTTTCTGTAAATGAAATCTGTTACAAATTTGATGCACAAGTCTACAGTATAAAGGATTTTTACTTTTTGTACTCCACATCAAAAGTAAATATTACAATGACAATAATTAGGGATGCACCGAATATTCGGCCACCGAAAATTATCGGCCGAAAATGGTTAAAAAGGCCCTTTCGGCTTTCGACCGAGAAAAATATCACCGAATGTCAGAGAACAGGGTTACGTTGATCATACTCTGCATATTTGTCCGGGTGTTTTGATTTCAAGTGGTGGAGTAATCCCGAAGTGGTGAAAGTCTTTGCAGTTACACCCCCTCGAGAAATGTCAGCTGAACACGTTTTACAAATCGCAATCCGCGGCTCTTTCTCTGATATTTTGAAATATCTCCAAGCGGCAGACATGTTGGCTGTGAGCCAGCCGCGAGCATGGTCGCGCGCCGTGCTTGTCGCCGCGTTTTGATTACGTCATCACAACAACACGTTAGGTTACCAAACTTATCGGTGCATTTGTTGTTGTTAAAGGCCTGGCTGTTACAGTCTTTATTTACACTATTTTGTTGTAGGCCTACTGGCCTAGATGTTTATGCAGTTTTAAAGCACCTTGGCTTTGTTCTGAATGCACTTTGTTGTAGTTATCCTACAGAGAAAAGAAAATGCACTTGACTTGGAATTAATGTACTGTATGCATTCAAAAGTGCTGAATAAATGTTTTATGGACCCATAATAGTGATTATTATTTAAGTTAAGTTTTGCCATAATCATGTCTTNAGTACATGATCAATTACAATGTACCTTCAAACGTTTGAGTCCCGCCTGAAGATAAAACATAGCTCAAACTGACTCGAAAGCGAGGGAAAAGAGTTGGGTCTTCAGGCGGGACTCAAACGTTTGAAGGTACATTGTAATTGATCATGTACTGTATTTGCAAGAAAAACAACAAATGGCAAAACATAAAGGGACAAAATGTCTTAAAGGCTCCTAGAAAAAGGCAAAGAAATCTGTATTGTACATGCTGAATTTTGATCATCAGGAACACATACAAATATTAGGGTTTGCATAGTTTGTTTTGCCTCATACACTTAGTCAGACATTTCATCAAATCAAAACCCCCAAAGAGCAAAACAGTGGCAGTGTTTGTCGACCGTGAAATCAGACTTATTTTACACTCCAGTTTCGTTCTCACTCTTCTAGGTTAATAGGTCTCTTTGTTCACTATCAAATCAGCCGTGTGAATAAATGTTTCAATGAGTAACAAACAGGCCGCTTCCCTGTGTGCTCTCTGTTTCATTTATCTGTTGGGTTGCACCAAGGTTTGACTGATACCTGATATGAGACTAGGCTAAATGCCTTAGAACTAACCAAACTTAGATTTTTATGGAAAGAACATTGCATTTTTTGACTAGGAGTCTCTTTACATTGCGCAAGAACACATCTGAAAGAGGGGAAGCAAGGCATTGGTTGGTTTCAGTTCATTTAAAACACGCATTGTTTTTGAAATGGCTGGCTCTTTACTGACATCTACTCCAGCTACCATTAAGTACATGCTATGTCTATCCATCAATACAACAAGCTAACACAAAGGATCCTGGCCTGCTTTGTTACTGAATACACACACACACACACACACACACACACACACACACACACACACACACACACACACACACACGCACACACGCACACACACACAACCTTTCACCCCCTTTCTCTACATGAACATATCCTGCAGTATAGTCCCTCTGCTATGTGCATCAACCCTACATCGTAAAACGTGCTCTAACGCCAGTTCAAATTGAGAATGACTCATAATAACCATTTATCAGCTGTTTTAAACAACTCAACTCCAATAGGCCTTTTTCACAGAAAACATTTTAAACTGTCATAATAGGAAAAGCACAGCACTAAACAATGAAATGATGGCTGAACTCCAGATAGCTGCTTTGATTTCCATCTTAACCCCTTGTTGTTTCTCCTATATGACAGGTCATAATGGTTTTGTGTAAAAAATGCTTACGTTCTGTGCGAGTCAGAGCTCGCAGGAAAAATGTATTTGTACTTGCTGATACTTAATTAAAGTGGAAACAGACAGCTTTTGATTTAACTTATCATTATGAGGTAAATGTTCATGGTGACAGTGTAATAATGACTAAATTGGCTAAGTTACGTTGGTTCTTAATAACCCTCAATTGTCAATGTTTTTTTAAATAGCCCTCAGAATAAATACACTTTATTAACAGAGAGTTGGAGCCAATTTGCTTTGGGTTGTGCACGGGGTTTGTCTATGTGTGTGCGAATGCGTCATTATCCAATCTGCGCACCTGGGAGCACGGGAGGTAATTAACCTATATATGTGGGCACGGGTGATCAGCTGGGATGAGAGGTTAGAGAGGAAGCCACACGTTTTTCAACCGTGTTGACCGTGATTGTTTGTGTCTGAGCGTGATCGTTATGTTTTAAACAAGAGTTTAGATACGTGAGTCTTAAAAGAACATTTTAAGCGTGGACAAGTAAACACGCGTTGGGAACTCTGCTAACCTCCATGAGTGGCCTTTTTTGATGAGCGATCGCCGCTACAGAGAGCATTTCCCTAATAGGAGCTTTAACTAAATATCACTCAACTAAATAGCTTTCACTTACCATCCCCATACATGTACATTAGCAGAACAACCAGGGTAACATTTACTGTGGAAACTCTACCAGCAGAAAAGCCCAGTTGACAAAGGAGGCAAAGAAAGTGTAGAAGTACAGTGATAAAAAGTTATTTGTACAAAGCTGGACCAGTTAGTAACAAAACCTGCCTACAACTTGCTTATCTATTAAAACTACTGCGATCTGCCTTCTTTATAGAACTGAGATATCATTTGTTTTGCTGTGGACAGTATCTAAAAGCTGGAATGCTATCGGCTGCCATGTTGCTAACAGAACAGGTAGATGTGTTTTGTTGTGTAGATTATTTTTGTTCATGTAAGAATCAAGGGACAGAATATATACCATAAACATCTTGGCGCAGTTTGTTTGGAAATGCTGTAATTCCATGGATTTAAAGCAACAGGTTATTACCGAATGCTAATCAGGCCATGGTAATAGCATTGAAGGGGGTTTGTTTTGTCCTGCACCCTGTTAAACTTAATGTTTTTAATCTCCCAGTTCTCACCTAAGGGTGTCAGTAAGTAGGCTTTACTAATATCTGCAACAACTTAAGCACCTCAGCAATGTTAAGTCTTATACTCTACATGCCGTATACATTAAGTGAAAATAAAAGCAATGTGAGTCAGATGTCCAGTCACAGGGGGAACATTTCTGAGCAGAACGCAGCACATCTGGGAAATGTGGTTTACATTTACCCACAAAAGGTGCAGGACTGTGAAGTGAGTTCATTAGCAGCATCTTATCCTGTGCTTCAGCCAACACCTACACTCAAAAGGGAAAAAATAATCAGTAAGAATGTGCTGCTATTGTCCTCAAAACGCTTATAATAATAATCACTTTCCTGGCGGTGTCCTTCATCTATGTATCAAAGAGTTGTATCTTTCAGGAGTGCACACCCCTTCAATCTCCAAGCAACTGGCGAATGAAGAACACAATAGGGGGCATGCACAAGTCGAGTTTGAAGGGTGGGTTGTAATTAGGGGGCACAAAGAGGGAGGCTTGTCAGCAGGAGGATTGGCATCATGTGTTTAAACTGTGAGAAAAAAACCTGTGATTGATTGACAAGACTCCCATTAAGAGTCCAAGTACGTACAACTCCCATAAGAGACACATTTTTTAATTTCCATACTTTCATTTCTTATGTTCTCTTATGTAATTGTTGCATAAGACATATTGTTGCACTGTCACAAACCCTGTTACACATCATCGTTTGTGTCACTCAGTTGGAATAAAAGATAAATATTAGTATGAGAGTGGTTGAAAATGTTTTTTCCTCGTCTCACGCTTTTCCGGTTATTACTCGTCCCCTTGTGTGTTATGAAGCTTTTTCTGCATGTAACCGGTCTACAGAGTCACAAACCCTCAAAGTACACCCTGTAGCGAGTACAACTCTAACACAGAACAGACCTGTCTATGCTGCCCCAGAACGCCTCGTTGGAGATTTCTCATTTTCCATTTGTTTCTTCCGGGAACCAATCCACGGAGCTCCTCACACACCAGGATCCCTTGGCGTCACTATAAAACGCAGTGCGGGGACCTTTAGCGTACATTTTCAACTAACAGGGAGTCCCATTGACTTGCATAGAGCTCCCTGGTTGGTAATAGACGAGTTGGGATGCCGGAGAAATGCTCTCCGCAGACCCATTCTCACAGCGTTATAAACCTTTTTCTTACTCAATATCAAGCCACACTTATTGTTTCTACTTCGGCTGTGAGTGTTTGTGTGTGCTCAGGATGAGTTTCGCGCTGTCCCGCGGTATCCCCGACACGGAAACCACACCAGTAAGCCAGCTCACTGAGCAGCGAGACTCGCAACGTCCTGACCAATCAGAGCACACTGGGCTCGCAGGGAGGGGGGAGGCAGGAGCTCCAACAAGCCGTTTAGGACAGAGTGAATACACATTCTATACAGAGATGCTGTGTGAGAAACCAATGTGAGTTTGGAAAATTGCAAAATATAAATGTATTTTATTATACCTCAACATTGGAATTATGATCAGTAGAAATGGCCATGACACGGGACCTTTAAGTTTGTTTGGAACAGATAAGCACATGAATATTAAACAGGAAAAGTTTTTGCCAGTCCCCCAGAAAACATCTGGAAAAGAATCAAACGCA